GATGATCTAACGTAGACAGTGACCAAAGCAATAGGGGGGCAAAAAAAATAAAACACGACAAAGGGAGGCTAGTTAAGGTCAGTCAAGGTCGGTAGCGCGTGGCATAAGATGCAGAGACAGTCCAAAAATAGGCCCCACGCTGCCTGTCAAAGAGACACGACGTTTTATTTTATTTATCTGGAAAACTACAAACGAGTCTTTTAAGTAAATATATGATTTCATTCAAGTCTCTAAGTTTCTAAAACTATCACGAGCTGATCAATTTAGCCCAGGCAAGTTTCCTAGCTAAAATAATTATATATATAAAAAGAAGTATTTACTAATGCATGCTGCTAACAATATCAACGCTACGTGTCCTGTTCATGACAATAATAAGTAAAGATAAATAAAATAATGAGTATTCAGGAGGTTTTTTAAGATCACTCTTAATTTTTTTGAACAAATGGAGTTTATTTACTTGGAAATAATAAAGAGACTATGTTAACAATAATATTAATAAGGACATTCATTTTTTTTTCTTTTAATAGATGATAACATTTACAAAATCCAACCATGATGTTTTTATCGATTAATTTTATATATTTAAATTTTATTGAAATTGTATACTAATAATTTGTTTTTTGTTTTTATATTATGTATATTTTGTCTGAACTATATTACATGTATGTAAATAATATTACAAATGAATAAATAAAAACAATAAAAATCATTAAAGGTATATAATTTAACTTGTCATCGCTTATAATAAGACTAAGCTGGTCAATAATAAGTGTTACTATTATTAATAATATGAAATATATAAAGTTATAAATCATGAATAGCAACAAAATTTACTGATTATGAAATCTTTGAAGCTATATGCCAAGAATTGATATGGTGGCGTAGAATCTAGCTCGAGAATGCCTGGACAAATAAGAAAAAACACAAGGGAAGTCTTTAGCTTCAGGACTATATTGCTTAGTTTTGAAGATTCGGGGCTCAATTGAAATTATTTGTATGGATAGGAAACTTATTTAGTTTGGTTGTTAGTTCGAGAAGTCGGCAGCGGCTCGTAGCCGTTCATGGTGCTCAATCTCGGCTTAGTGAGGATCCCACACAAGCAAACCAAAAGAACCCTTCGAGAAACGAGACTCCTCGTGGGGTCCATACTACGCACGGACTGCGGTTTTCGCTTGTCACCACGACGCCCACCAGAACAATTTCTTACGTTAACAACGAGCGCGTCGAAGAAAGATGAGGCACATGGTAAAAGCTCTTGGTAGTCGAGATTTATTTATTTTCTGAGAAGACACCGAGGGGGTGTTTGGGAGGCCTAAAGGACAAAGAAACAAACAGGCGCCGCAGCTCCAGCACGCGCGATGCTCGCTGTTGCAAAATGTGGTTTGCTCACTGCAGTGGCCAAATATCTTGAAAGGCTGCCTCGTTTTCTAACGGGGATAAGATTCATGCAATCACCAAGCGCAGAAAGGGAGGCTCATTACCCAGAAACAGCAAAAAGCTTGTGCATAAAAAAGCAGCGGTGCTAAGGGATTTCTTCTGCGCATACATGTAAATGGGATTTGACAAATTTTATAGCAGCAAAACAAATCAAGTCAAAGAATTTGATTCCTCTGGCGAAATCCTATCCCATGCCGTCCATCCCATGAAGCATGAAACAAGGTCAAGGTATGCTGGCCATAGTCTTGAATCGATCCATGTCTCTCGAGATTAAATTAATTTTATTTTTCCCTCCCTCCCTCCCTCCCTCTTCCAGTCCATTTTTGGCTGTCATTTTAATATTGCCACAATAGGGAATGTTAGTGGAGAATGGTTGATTATGCTCCTTTTCTCAAAGCTACCGATGAAGAATATGCCCCTAAAATATTCGGCTCCTGAGGTTGCACGTGCAAGGTTCATTTTCATGTGACTAAGAAGAGCACAATATAATAAAACTATCTCTGGTACCATAACTGTTGTGGCTGGTGGCTGTCGGTGTCAGATTTCTAATGTGACTCCCTGGGCATCTCCATGAAGACCCCACAAGATCTTGTGCCCTGTAAACTTTTCTGCTCGTTTAACGAACTGGGGGGGCACAGTTGATAGTTGGAGGAGCGTGCTTTGCTGGTATCGGCTTTTTTTATATATATAATAACAGATCTAAGTTTAGGATTTTCTACAAGCAGGAAAAAATCTTCGGATTCTTACTTTTAGCACGGGTTAATCACTCTACTAATCTCTCTTTTTAATCTCTCATCATTTCCTGCTCAGCGAGAATCATTGGTGCGGAGAACGGAATATCACGGGCGCCCAGAGGGCGTGTCAAGAGGGCACTAAGATTCCTAGGTTTTGTAATATTGTACGAGTTGAGTATTTTCAATGCCACTTCGACATTAATTCTGAGTGCATTAACAAAGAATTGGAGTTCTGCTATTATTCGATAAAATCCTTTCAATCATGATTAATAACACGTTGTCTTCTACATCAAGTAATCATATGGGATGTATGTAAGAACTTGAGACGTGGAATATCGATCAGAGGTTGGACCGAGAACAATCTTTTTTGGAAGACGAGAGAGTCAACGAAACACACACGGAGAGGGGGAGTGGAGAGATAGTTTGATACCCCAGTACTGTCTAGTAAAATGAGATTGTTTTTGATAATAACATTAGTTAAATAATCATGGGGATCGAGGGAGGAAGAAAGCGGGAAAGCATGGGACAGGTAAGCAAAATGTACGAAGCAGAGGTTGAAAATGAGAAGCAAAAAGAGATGGGGAGGGGGAGGCCAGGGAGGGGGATTTGTCATCTTTTAAGTCTTGACTTTTTTTTATTCAATTCTCTTTTAAAGTCTTCATGGATGGGCGTGGAGATGCCACATCTGCCAAAGTTTCCCGACCTCCTTTTCTCCACCCTTGTATGTGTGCTAATTGTTGCCCCACCATCACAAAGGAGTTGAGAAAGAGAATTTTTCCACACGGAAAGGTCATTTTTTTTTACTCTGCAGCTTGGACTTTATAGCCACCAAGCCATGCCTTCTACGCAGCAAAGCTCTCGGGAAGCAAGAGAATACAAGCAAATACAACAACAATCCACGCATGTTTGAGCTCCAAAACTTTGGATTTAACCTATCGATAGAGAGCCAACAAGAAAATAAGTCAATGAACAGCAAATATAATAAAATAGAAGTGATCAAAAACCTCATTTTTGTAACATGACACGTTATTGTTCTCAATTTTATCAGTTTTGTGACAAAGGTGTCCGTCCATGCAAGGAAACATCAAGTCCTTTTCGCATGTATTTAGCTATGGAAATTAAGGCAACATTGTCTAATTTTCAATGGATTTGGGATGAAATTGGGAAAATTAGGTGGTTTGGGACCAGTGCCAAGCCATGTAGTGTAAAAGGGGGCAATTACTCCCTTAATTTTTTATTTTTAAAAAATATTTTTCTATTAAAATATGCAATTGCCCCCTCAATTTTTTTTTCAAAATACTTTTTATATTAGAATATTAATAATATCTTAACATGTTTAATTTTCTTTGCTGCTACTAATTAACCAAGTTATGTTTAATTTTCTTTGCTGCTACTAATTAACCCAAGTTAGCTATTGTTAACTTATAACATAATATAATATATAATATATATGTTTAATACATTTCATTAATTTTTTTTATTTTCTTCCATTAATTAACCAAGAGCCCTTCCTCTTTTTTTCGACCTACTATTCTTGCTTCTCTTCTTTTTATAAAATTTTTCTTCAAGTTTTAAACTATTAATTAGTTAAGTAAATAATTTTTTATGCTTTATGCTTTAGGTAAGTTTTTTTTTATCTTTTCTATTTGTTTCATTGTTCAATTTTAGTTTTATTATTTTATAATTAGTTATTGAAAATGTTAGGATTTATAATAATTTAAGAGTTTGTTGAATTAATATATGTATGAATAATATTATATGGATATGAATATGAATTGAAATGAGTTTTAATGAGTTGATAAATATTTTGTTATGAATTTCATATTGAAAATAGATGGTGATGAACTTACTAGTGATTAAAAATGAATTATAACTAGTGATTAAAAATGAATTATAAGACAAGTCAAAAAATTAAGGACACAATAAAAAAAAATTAACATTTATATTTAACCCACTTGTAGAAAAAAATAAGTCAACAATAACAACATCAATTTATTATGATAATCATTTTAAGTTATGATTTTAGCTACTCTCTACCATATATCAGCATAAAATTGTTACCAAGAACTTTATTAGTTCTTGGAAGATTTAGAAAACACAAGCATTAAACTCACCCTAAACTAAAAATAGATGAATTACAATTTTATTGTATATATTAAGAAAAATATCTTTGATGAGATTAATAATAAAATTATTATGAGCAGTTTTAAAATATAAAACTCAAAAAAATAATTATAACGTAAGTTTTTTATTTTAAAAATATTTTTAAATTAATTTTGTTTGATATGAGTTAGTACATATATTTCAAATTGATTTCTTAATATAAAACATGTCTATATAATACATAATATCAAATATTAATTAATAATTTATCTTCTCATTTAAATTATGGCTCCGGATATCATTGAAGTAATATATTTATGATGATAACGAGATGTTTTTCTTTGTAGATTTACATATAGTCAGAAAGGATACTCAATATTAAAAATTAACACCGATTACACTAGTTATAAATTCCTCCTACGTATATACATTTTAATAAGAAATTTATGGTATGAGATTTTACATCTAGAAGAAACTCAGGGTAGTTGAGGCTTACAATCTAAAACGATGTTACAGCAGCAAAGAGAAGAAAAGGAACCCCTCCAATATAATTAAGCATTGGCCTGGGCAAGAAATGGACTGAGTTTCCTTATGCATGAAATGAAAATGAGAAAATTCCTGACTGTAGGTTATTATTTTCCCCGAAGAGATCATGGCAAAGGATGAAGATGGCATGGTTAGCGGCGCATAGGTCCATTACTTCGATATTCCAACTGGAGAATAGTCTATGGGAAAAAATCTATTGGTTGCTAAATCATGATGGTCCAACCGAGGGATATTTTCAAGGTACAAATACCATGATGTTTCAGACCTTACATTCTTGGACTAGACAATTCATACAAATCTTCAGGCTGAATCCATGTAGTTGGAAATGGCTCCACTGACATTCATTGCACTACATACATGCCTTCTATCAATTAAGAAGATGTACCGACTGGATTCCATATTGGATTAATTGGCCTCAGAAAGTTTCAAATACTGGTTATGATTGACCAGGAATTAAATGGTAGAAGTAAGAGATGCTGATAGCATCAACAAGTTTCGAACAAATTTTGATGGTAACAAATGCAGAATAGAGGACAATTATGGGCCAGTCATCAATGTATCATGCTAGGTGGCTCGATTCATTCCCACCGTTGATCAAGTGGGATCTCCTTGTGGGACCCACAAGATCTACGGTAGATACAAATCATTTCCCATCATCAACACAGGTCCAACCATATGCGTGACTGCCATTGTTGAAGAGACAAAATCAAGGTGCACTAAGTTGGACATTCTATAATTCCATGTAGCAGAGACAAGGAAAATATATTTTGAAGGGATATCTTTTGCTTAATTATAAACGAAAGTTGAAATTTCAACCCTGCCATTTCTGATAAGAACGTCCCAAGTAAAGAACCTCCCAAAGCATCAATCTGCCAAAAGGAAAATGTACATAAATGAGGCCAGGTTTTACATTTGAAAGGGAAAGTGAGAAAGATTAGTTGAATTTGCAGGGACTAGAAATCTTGCTGCATCAGTAATATAGTTGGCACGCGTGACTTTGTTTTAACAATCAAGCTTTCCAAATTGAAAGCAATTTATAATCATATACTCTCTGCAATGTTAACTTCGAATTTCAAGAGCAGATTTTTCATATTCTACAGAAAACTTTGCTATTATGATTTTGATTTAGTTTATTTTAGTACATCAAAGTAAGGGTTAAGTTTTCTTTCAGGTAGTAATAATTACCACTGTTGCAACACCATGACCAGTCAGGGGTCCGCCAATGACAGGTAAAGAGGCTGCTGAAAGTGCAGCATGAGAAAATTCTTGCAGGATCCCAAGGGGACAAGCAGAGAGGGAAACATTTACTATGTATACAGGCACTTGAGAATTCAGACGGTATACAAATATAATATAATCCAAATTCAGTCTTCCTAGGCAAGAAGAAAAGGCACCACGCATTTTGAATACTAACAGGAATAAAATCATCCAATCCTGTTTTCTCAAACAGTTCATATACCAAACGAACTTCGTTTTCATGGTGTTTTTTACTCTACATTACTAATACGGGCCTATGGCCTCTCTTTTTTCTTTTTTTTTTTGGAGGACGAAAAATAGCTCATCATTACTCCGAGTAATTGTCCCTTCGGCTGAAACACACACACACAATCCAGGAGACGATTTTCATCAACGTGGGGATAGTGCAATCAATACTCAAATGTCCAAGCAAACAACGACTATATTTTTTCCCCCCTCAGTTTGTGGCTAAGTGTTATTTTCAGGCTAGCTCTGGCGCATTTAGACCAAGTCCACCTCTACAGTCTAGTTAGGAAACATTTGTAAATTGATATGCAGATCCAAAAAATCTGCTTAAATAGTACAGTTCTTGATGGTTCACGCAAATCAGGATAGAGAACCAAGTCTCATACATAATTGTTTCCAGCAAGTGTTACAATCTTTCTGGTGATTATAAATTGTCAGCGTAGTATCTCACCAATTGTCGAGAAAAATGATTTGTCATTCCACTCCGCAACAAAAACCAAGAGGAAAGTGCTGATAATGATGCTAGCAGCAGCTAAAATCCCGGCACCAGTGTATAGGCATTTCAATGGCAGGTTACTGAAACTGATTCATCCTCTGCTTTCAGACTGTTGGAGATAGAATTCAAAACTGAAACTACTTGCTGATATTTCGGGCTAATTGATTTGTTTAACATTGTGATATCATCTTTTCATTTTTAAATAGCTTACGTAGAGGAAAAGGTTATAGATTATCTATCTATAAAACCTTATTCATTGTATTCTTAAAGTATATAGAATAATATGCATGGTATTAGAGCTGCCTAAGCACGTTAATTGATCCTCTTCAAAATGTATGCCTCCTAAAATTCCACAACTTTAACTACTTTTAAATCCAACCTTCCCATCTTCAACCCATCCTCCTCCATCAACCTCACTAAACTCAAACGTTTGAACTACCCAACATGGAAAGCCACCATGTTACCGTACCGCAAAGGTCAGAAGGTTTTCAACTATGTAGATGGCACCATTCAACAGCCTGCTAAAACCATCAATGCCTCTGATGGTTCTACAATTCCCAACCCATCCTATGCTAATTGGGAAACCCAGGATAATCTTATCCTTACCTGCATCGATTTTTCTCTTTCAGATGAGGGGTGGCACAGATTACTCATTACAGCACCTCCACCGAAGTTTGGATAGCTCCAAGCTCTGCCTTTGCATCACAGTCTCGCGCTAAGGCAATACAAGTTCACTCTCAACTCTCTACTCTGTGGAAAGGAAGTCAAACCATAAGTGATTGTTTCATCACAATCAAATGTCTCACAGACAAGTTGGATATTACTGGACAACTTTTTATGTGTGATGATATCATCACGTATTTACTTATTGATCTTGGTTCAGAGTATGACTCTCTTGTTTCCATGGTCACTCACCATGATACCTGTCTCACCTTGGAAGATGTTTATTTTATGCTACTGATGTGCGAGTCATGTACTCAACACAATAATCAAACTTTATCCTCGCCCCCGACCTTAGCCAATATTGCCACCCGACAGCAACCCTTTACAGGAGGTCGGGGCATTCATCAACTCCCAGAGGCAGGGGTGTGGTCAATTGAATGGCAATTATGGAGGTGATCATGGCTAAATGGTATGTGTAATTTTTGTTTTTGAAGAATTGTTGCTAGCTAAATGGCTCGCCATTTTAACCATTCGATCAACATTCGCTATACATAGCGAGTATTTTAGCACTATCTATTCAGTTAGGGATGCAATAACAGGAAGAATAATTGTTAGTGGGAAAGAGGAGAGGAAAAATCATTCGTCATCCTCTGTTTCTTTACACTTCCAATCTAAATATTGGGTTTTCTTTTTATATGATTTGATTTGGGTTTTAGCTAAATATCCTCCTCTGTTTCTTCATGCTATGAGGATGTAGTAACCCCTAACATCACAGAGTCACTTGGTGTATGTGCTGGGATTTACCCTTTCAACTTTCGAGTAATGGTTCCTTTATGGGTAAGCCTTCAGCATTCTTCTTGATAATTTCTATATGTCCATGCATAGCAGGATGCTTGCCGTTTTTTAGTACAAAGATGAAACTTAAATTTTGTTGTTAAGATGAAAGGACGTAATTATCTGGGCCTAATTCCAGCTTCATCTTGAAATTGATCGTGTTTCACGAATGTACTAAGGCTTTTTTTTTTTTTTTTTTGGGAAAATATCGAGTTCTCAGAGGAAAAAATTGATTTAAACACAATTCTTCAGTAAGCTTATAGGTTAATAAGAGTTCATAGGTTGCATATAATATTTGTCGCCAGTTGAAGGAATTTAAACACAAATCATATTCTGATAATAATACAAAAAAGTGTCATTTTTCTTAAATCTTCTATTTTACTAGGAAGACATGTTTTGTTGTAGATGCAGTATTTCCTTAAAACGATCAGATATGAACAAATTACAATGAGAAAGAATGCATGCTATCTTAGGCATGAGACTTGATTATTTCCCCTCTATGTTATTGAATGGTAGGATAAAACAGCCCAACAATCATCCAAGGCCTACATGATTCCAGAACCACACAGAAAGAAGTGGGGAAAGAAGAGACAACACATCATCAGAAAAAAAGGACCTGCCATACCAGTAAAGACTCCCTAAAGCGCGAGCAACAACAAACAACAAGAAGATAGAAAAGCACCAAAGAAAAGCTGCAACCTGAAGCCAGCTCAGAAAACATATGAGAATATACAGAGTTAAGAAACATGCAACCCACATAAGCAAAAACAATAGAAACATGAAGATGCTAACCAGACAAAAAAAGAAAACTAACCTGGTGAACAAAACAACTGAGCAGAGAGAAAAATAAACGTGAACAAACCCCCTAACAGACACCAGAGAAGAAACCAAGAACCACAAGCATAACCTAACGGATATCAGAGAAGATTAGAATGAGCAAATAAACAAAGTAGAAGTAAGAGGGACCCGATAACATAAATCAAACAATCAAAAGGCACACTATCAACGAAGGCAATAAAAAAAGAAAGACAAAAAACGAAGAGAAGAACAGAAACTTGAGAGAGACAGAGGTCAACTTGTAACAGAGAACCCAAATAAAATATACCCTCCCCAAAGTAAACACACAATGACACTCATGATGCGTTTGTGAACTTCGTTTATTTATCTTGTTTACTGTTGTACCAAGACTTTCAAGGATTATAGTCGCACCACCTGCCTGTCAAGTCTGTGAGGGATTGACGAGAATCAATGGCTGGACCTCTTGTAAGCTCCATTAAGAAAAGGCAACGACTGTCGGCCTCCGCTTGAAGGTCTGATCAATTTAAAGAAAAGAAAATGGGCTTCGTGGCCCACCATGGAACCAGTAATTATAAGGGGGTTAGGCATTATTATTATTTTACAAGGGTTCAATCTTAAAACAAAAGAAAAAAGAAAAGAAAAGAAACCACACACAAATTCACAATATTTTTGGCAATGATAATAGCCATTGAAAATGGGAGCACACGAGTATTTAAACTTTTAAATTATTATTTATTAAGATTCAAATAAACTCAATTTTAAATACATGAATGCAAGGAAGATTATAAGATAAAGATAAACTTAAATTATCATCATTTTAGTTAAATAAGAATCTTAAACAGAAATCATTTTAATTTAGAAAACATTTTCTCAGGGAATCATTCTTCTACCTCAACAGTGAAAGGAATGAAGGAGAAAAAAATTGACCTTGGCAAAGGGAGCAAGAGAACATTCACATTAGGTCATTGGATTATATGACTACAAAGAAATTATCAAATAAGTTCGAAGTTGTATTATATATATATATATATATATATATATATGGATTATATCATAAATGTTATTTATTTATGACTGCTGTAATTTTGATTTAAGGTTGAACTTTAGGTTGTGGTCCAAAATCAGTAAATTTGTTGTGATTTTTTTTTCACGTAAAGCTGATTTGATAACATCATCTAACTGCAAAAAAAAATAGTGGGAGGTTGGACATTGAAGAGACAATCAAATTGCGATGGAGCACTGCTGTCCTGGGGTCGTCTTCGATGGCGCAGATGAAGGGTAGTGGGGTGGTTATAAGTTGCCTTATAATTTGGTGGATTGGGTCGGGATGGAAATTTAATGATTTGGTGGTGCCAGCTGGACGACACTTATTACAACGTTAAGAGATGATGCTGCCTTAGGGAGGTTAGGCTCCGGTGGTGACCTAGTTTTAAGCCCAAAGACCTATAACTCTCCTATGTGTAGGGGGGGATTTCAGCTTGACATTTACAAGTTTAAAATAAATTTAAAATTTAAATTATGGTGTATTGTGTTTTTTTTTTTTTGGTTAGAATAATAGTAATGTATTAGGTTGGCTCACAGAGAAATTGTGTGCGATGTTATTAATTCTTTTAATTGAAAGAACCGCACAAAATTAATTTTTATTTTATATATTTTTGTATTTTAAAAAAATTAAAATTTTTTATTTTTTTAAATTAATATTTTTTTGTATATATTTTTGTATTATTTTGACATACTAATGTTAAAAATAATTTTTTAAAAATAAAAAAATATTATTTTAATATTTTTTAAATATTTTTTCAAATAAAAATCACTTTAAAAAAAAATTACAATCATTATTCTAGAAACAATCAAAGGTTTGGATATCAAATACTGACTCGTATAGTGATTTCTATGTTGTTTTTGTTTTACTTATATTTTTTCTAAAGTTTAAATTAATATTTAAATTAATATTTTTTATTATTTTAAAAACAATCATTATTATATTTTTAAACAGAAAATAAATAATATAATTAAACTGATAATACAATAAGCATAAAAGTTAATTATAACCTCATGAAAAGTTAATTTCAATTATGACACATTTGGTGATACAAGAATCTTGATTCAATAACTCCGAAGGAAATCAACCTTTCTCTTAATTTTGCTGGAAAACCGATTAAAAAGAGAGAACCATCAAATGCTGAACTCGAAGTAAAAACTGTCACCAGCACTCGTACAATTGAATATCAACACGAAGCCTGAAATAAACTTCACCCTCGAATGCATCAGTCATCAATGTGGCTATTCCTCGAGCCATGAAGAAGTCTCCAGTACCACCAATCACTGAAACATCCCTAGTCTTGTTCATCAATGGATCAGCCCCGGCAAAGTTTATGCTTCCTTTATGCTCAGTAGAGTTAAAAACGAAAGAGAAACCTAGCCAGGCAGTGAAGATTTCTTTCTTGTCATACACATAAATCCCTTGGGCACGACCTATCGGGGCCGAGTGTAGGTCGTTGTCTAAGGTAATGGGGTCATCAAAAACAACCAAGTCACCAAAATGGTTTTGGTTAGCCAATATGGTCTTGTTGCCCCAAGCTGGTGCCCCCACAATTGCTGCGGTTGCATTCTTGGAGTTCTTGCCATTGTAAATAATGTCATGGAAATAGAAGACTAATCTTTTGCATGGTTTATGAACTCGAGATTTTCGGCTATGGAAAGCGGAGGATTTAGAGAGCAAGAAGAGAAGGGAGAGAGCTAAAATTAGTCTTTTAGCTTCCATTTGCTAAAAGTACGGAGAATATAAGTGCCTAAAGGAGATGGGAGGAGGCAAAATGCTCAGTCTCCTTATATAGGAGAGCCTGGTTATTGATTTTGGCATAAAGTATGTGCTAAAGCTTCGCTTTGAAGACATTGTTGGTGCGCTGGCGTTGGTAGCTCTACCAGATCAAGAATAATCTGCTTTATTCTCTTCGAACAACTCCTCTTAATCTGTTGACTTTAAACCTACGATAGAGACCATGATTGGATGCACATGCACTTGGGGACTCGGTTACCTGCTGTTAGAGGAATATTTATGAAAAAAGATGGGCATTGTGAGGAAATTAATCTTGATTTGAAATTAAGTGGTGTAAGTTTTTTAATGTAAGATCAAAACCATTAATCTATCATTATATTAGGCTGTAGCGCCATAGTAAATCACATCAGGTAGAGGAGCTGATAAGGAGAGACTAAAATAGATATACTACGTTTTAAAGAAATATTTAATTATACATATATCCAATTCTGGTATGCTTGTGTGTATTTATTTGTATATTTCTATAGCCTATTTCTCGCTTCATTTATTTCATTAACTGAAATAATAAGCAACCGCGCGTTTATTAAATCAGAAAACTACCTCGAGTTATTATAAAAACAAAATTGAGGGAGTTTGAATAGCTAAACGAAGGACGCCTCAAATCAATTCAATTTGGTGAGTGATGGTAAGATTTTTTTTTATTATTATTTTCCACAGAATTGTAAGATCATTTAATTTGGTATTGTTAACCACAATGATCATTGAACAAACCATATTATTTATAGCTATTACCTCCAAAATTTTCTAGCTATTAAGTAGTGAAAATGAAATGAATTAAATAGTGCAACGATATAACTTCAAAATAATGTCTTATTCAATGAGAAGGGACTACAACAAAAGCGTTCACTCAGTCTTGAACAAATCATATGTGTGAAACTTTTTACCAACATTCATAGAATTTGATGTCAACTCGGAGCCTGAAATACACCTCGCCTTCAAATGCGCCGGTGGCTATGGTAGCAATTCCCCTGTGCATAAAGAAATCCCCAGTGCCTCCGACCACGGATATATCTCTAGTCTTTACCATAATTGGGTCAGCTCCGATGAAGTTTATGGAGCCATGGTGGTCTGTGGAATTGAGGACAAAAGAAAAGCCTAGCCAGGCAGTGAAGGTGTTTTTGGTGTCATAAATATACATGCCTTGTGCCCTACCGACTGGCGGTGAATGAAGATTGTTGTCAAGGGTAATGGGATCATCAAAAACTACAATGTTGCCAAAATGGAACTGGCTTGCTAAGATGGTTAAGTTGGCGCCTTCGGGCGCCGCCACAATTGCTGAGGTTGCATTGGCAGCGTTCTTGCCATTGTAAATAATGTCATGAAAGTATAGGACTAATTCCTTGCACGGTTTGTACTGCTTCTTCTTCCCCGGATGGGCTGAAGACACAAGAAGAAACATAAAGAAACAGAGAAGAATACAGATTGCTCTCATTTTTTCCCTGGTGAAGATAGTCTTGGGAGAAATGAAGCAAGATGAGCAAAAGCAAGATTTAGACGAATGAGCTAGTGCTAAAGCTAGAACTTGTGACTTGTGAGTAATTAGCTCTCTACCCCTCCTTATATAAGGACCACATTTTGGATCTAATGTGGAATCTCATCAATTAAAAAAAAAAAGGGCTGAAAAAATTTCAACGAATCTTGTTAATAAATGGTCCGTGGATTTCTTCTTCTTTTTTTGTTTTTGTTTTTTTTTTTAATTCTGAATTGGGTTTGTCTTCACAGAACTGGTTAACTGGCTACCTACTACACACCATTTTCATCAATTTTTAATTTCAAGGATGTTTCCTCTGGCGACTTACATTTCACTATCAGATAGTATCATGGATACTGCCAGAAGACACCTAAAGGCTGTGAAGCGTTATTCCCTCTGCGCCTATGTTATTCGACTAGCAAACGGCGAAGTCACAATAATTAGTATGAATTCAATTTAAAAATTTAATTTATTTAAAAAGATTTTAAAATATTAATTATATTATTTTAAAATATACTAATTTAATCTTAAAAAATTTAAGTTAAATTAATATAACATCAGAGTTTTAATAATAAATGGTCATAAATTTAAATTTTATTTTTTTATTTATTTAATAAAAATTAAATATAAAATAGTATACATCTGTATAAATTTTAATTTATAAGGATATATTAGAAAATTATATAAATTTAAAAAATTAATAGTTAAAATTATTAAATGGACGGTGGTTTTTTTTATAAAGAATTCTAAAGCTTTGAAAATATTTGTCTATAAGAGTACAAATTCAATAAGCCTGACAGAAAAAATCAAAGGTTATGCCTAAGATGAAATTGGCATGTTAAATCATAAATTGTATTGAATTTAGGGTTTGTCAGTTCAAAAGGCTATCCAACTCGAAGCTGGAGGACTCAATGAGTACACTCTGAAGCTCATTAATTTTGAGATTCTCAGGCTCAAAATAGCTTGGTTGGACTCGAGTCGAAAGTGGATTGCCTGTTCTGTGATTTTCAGTTCTTGAAAAATTAAACGTAAAAAAAGAAAAAGAAAAAAAAGGAATAGCATCAGAGGGACTTGGCTTGGAATCTTTGAGCGAGCTAAAGGACATGTTCCACCTATTCCCATGTTCCTCCCCTCCTAAACAGGTTAAGGTGGACAGATCATCTGGGTGGTAGAAAATCCTTATCCAGCTAATTAAATCCGTAGAAGAGCCATCTCTCTAGGATTGATAAGCAAGTGTATTTATTTACTGATAATAATCAGTTGAGATATAATTTTGTACAGAGTAATCTAGAGAAAGTATTACTGTTAGATTGCCATCGAGCACCTACGATGGGAAAAATAAACCAATCGAAGACTTTCATTGCTTATAATAATAAAGAAACCAAAAAAATTCAATGGGGTTTTTGCTCTCAGAAATATTAATTTGACTTTTTAATTGTTGTTTTACATGCTTCAAGGAAATGTTAAATAAAATATTAAAATATAATTTCTGTTACAAGAATATTATCTCTGCATATTTTGTATAAAGCCTAAAACCTTATAAAACACTATTCAAGCAATAGTTTTTTTTCTTTGTTTTTTTTTTAATTTATATTTTTTTTATTTTTATGATATTATTCTAGACTCGTAATCCAAGTTATGGGTTTGACTAGTTCATTTGGATTAACTCGGATTATTTTTTTATATTTTTTAATTTTATTCTTTAATATTGGATTGATCGAGAATTATTCGGGTTGTTTTTAAATTCATTAAATTTATTAGATTATATTGATTTGTTAAAATAATTGTCTATTAAATATATTAGAATATAGTTGAATCTTTTAAATAATTTTTTAAAAAACTATATTTATATTATTAAAAAAAATTATTACTAATTTGATGTGCAAATTCTATTAAAGATGCTATTATTATCGAACAAAAATAGCAAATACCAATCCTGCCACAGGAGGAAAAAATTCTCTCGTGAAAAGCTAAGAAGGTGTACTTGAAAAAAGAGGAGGAGGAAGAAGACGCATAGGTCTAGGCTGGCGGCCATGGTTGGAGCGGAAGTGTTGGATTTTTCTAAGCCGTGCTCTTGACTTGGAGTGATTGGGAGTATGAGTGTATTCGAAATTATTTTTAAATATTTTTTAAAAGTATATTTATATGAAAAGAATATTAAATTTGTAAAAAAGATATTTTAATATGTTAAAAAATTGTTTTAAAAACCACCTTACATAGTAATAAAAAACAATAAAAGACGTCATACTTCGACTCCCGAAGGGGCAGGCCCCTGGAAAAAGGGTCATCATCACCACCTGCTTTTACTTATTTAGTCATCAGACAATAAACATTAGCTGATAAAAAAAAGGAAAAGGATAAAAAGAAGGGAAACACGACTTATCCACCTATTCTTAATTTGGTGCCTACGTTTAAATATCTTCGCTCGCATCCCATAAAGTATGGTATATTTCTCAAGTGACTACCTTCCATTCCTCGCCTACCGAGACTGTATTAAAAAATATGGTTATAATTATTTTTTAAAATATTTTTTTATTTATAAAAATATTTTGATATTATCTTATCAAAATAATTGAAAAAAATTAAAAAAATATTAATTTAAAATAAAATATTTTTAATTTTTAATTTTTAATTTTTTTAAAAAACACTTTTAAAACATAAAAATAAACAAATTATTTCATGCAGTGCAATAATGTGATTTTAAATAGAACTTGAATTTTTTTGGTTAAGAACTATGGTAAGTTTTTTTCTAACAAGTGATTCTGAGAGAAATATTCGGTAAAATCAGCACTATTTTATTAAAAATAGAGACAAAATTGGCAGATTTAATTATTTTGACATAAATTTGGAATACATTAGGGATGGAGGTGAGGTTTCTGCTAAAAATAATTTAGACATTAAAAAAAGGTTTTTATGGTTAGAGTCTGTTCAGCCAATTCAATCCGCATAGCTTGATAAGAAGCCCAGTGTCCAAGACATGACCGCATATTCTTGAATAAAAAATAACATCGACCGGTGGATATTGTACAGGAAAACGCCCTTGTCGTGGTCCCACGTGTGACTCTTTTATCAACCCTAATGTATGTTCTAACCAATTCTGGTGGGTGATTGGTTGGGGTTGGTGTTGATTTGTATTATTTAAGTGGTGGTTTAAGAGAAAATTGAACAATTTGTTTGGTCATGGTAAGCGATATCTTCGCATGTCTTAGTCTTCATTATATTATATTATATATAAAATTAAAAGAGATCAAGGCTACTTATCTGTCCTTTTATATCATTTCCATCAAGCTATATCTCACGGATGGAAAAGTTTATTTCACGCGCCATTTTAGTTATTACAAGAAAAGATAGGGTTAGATGATATTTTTATATTTTCATTGTATAATGGTTGCTTTTTGCAAATTAAAAAAAAAATCACCTTTGATCTTGTCTTTTATATTTGGCTATTTAGTAGTTTTTGGGTATCATTGATGTAGTAATGTAATTTGATAAATAAAAAAACAAAAAAAACAAAAATGAATTAACAATAATAAACAAAATGAATTAACCATGCGTGTGTACTGTCCGGTGGCCAAAACCTAGCTTCCAAGACAACGCCCAAAGAGTCTTGGCGCCCCCTCAATTTAACAGTGCCGTGTGTTGCATAATTATCATAGTTTTAAAACCCGGCCTGGCGGGTTGACCCGGGACCCGGTCGACCCAGGGCTGAAACCGGGCCGGGTTAATGAAAAAATAAGGTAAGCCATGACCCGGCGGGTTGACCCGGAAACCCGGACGACCCGGCAAAACCCGGTCAAAAACTCGGTGGTAACCCGTTGACTTTTATTTATTTTTTTATTAAAACGACGTCGTTTTGAATTTTTTTAAAAATAGGAATTGACCCGGCCGACCCGTTCGACCCGGTCAAAACCCGGTGACCCGGTCAAAACCCGGAACCCGGGCCTTGGACCGGGTCAGCCACCGAACCGGGTTTAAAAACTATGATAATTATGACTAGTTTTGACATGTGTGAACTGAATTTCTTTGTTCCTCTTTCCAACTCGACTTTTATATTGACATTCCAAACAATTAAAGTAGTCCCTCATGTTATTATTCTCAAGATTTGATTTTTATTTTCATAACCCAATTCTAGATTATTCTTTAAAATTCATTTTTTTTCAAAATAAAAATAAAAAATAATAATAAAGGCTAGCGATGTTAAGCAAACAGACAGGGAAGGATTCCAAAAAATATATACGTAAAAACCAAGTTGCAATTTTGGAGGAAATGCAAGGCCTAGTTGTACCTCATTATGCCCAAAAATGAAGAAAAAAATACAAATTCAAGGTCAAATTAAATAATTATTAGATAAATTTGCATAAAAATTAAGTCCAATGATATAATTAAATTTTTAATAGCTAATTTGATTTAATCATGGGCCAAATTGAATTTTAATTATGTTTGAGAATTAATTTGGGTTCAATTAAAGGATTTAATTAAATGTAAGGACTTAATTGTATTTTAAATGGGTCAAATTAATTTTACTTGGGGCTTAATTGGTGAAAAATTAAGTTTTGGAGCCTAATTTAGGTTTAATTGAGAAGATTGAAATTTTAAGAGACCAGATTTAATTTTTACCAAGTTAATTGATTGAAATTAGGGATCAAATTGCAAGAAATTTAAAGTTTTGGAATCAATTAGGGGTTAAATTGATAAAAATTACCTCCAATAACCAATATGCAAAAGACAACAAACTATAGAGGCTTAATTGACAAAAATTGAGGGTGAAATTGAAGAAATTGAAAGTTTAATGGTCAATTTGGGGTTAAATTGCATAAATCCGAGACCAAAAATCATATTGCAAAAGGAGCGTAAATCCGGAGCTGAAGTTGAAGTTATGTCGGGACCAAATTGCATTAAATCAAAAGTTTAAGGTCGGTTAGGGGTTCAATTGAAACAATTAAAATAAGAAGGACTAAATTGAAAATCAGTCAAAACTCCTTTGTTTAACCATAAACAACGCCGTTTTTGCATTAAAAAGAAGAAGAAGAAGAAAATGACCAGACGACGTGTTATCTGGTCAATGTGTTCATTGT